GTGCCATGGACACACAATAGACAACCACAAATTACACCCAAACTCACGAGAGAAATAATGTAGGCCATACAAATAGTTCTCCCGGCCTGGGAATCGAACCTGGGACCTCTGTGTGGCACTCCGGCGCAGTAACCGTTCGGCCCTGGAGGCAGTGACGGATTATTATGTACCATGACCTCACGGTCGGTTAAAGAAAAAACGACATGAACAGCTAACTCGAACACGAGCTAGCATTTTCTTAGCCCACTGGTTGGTATCGGAAGGACAAAAAACTGATTTTACAAAACTTTATGAATAGTACCAAAAAGAATGTCTGCCAGCAACTTTCCCTGCTTGTCTATCCCTAAATTCTATACGGTTGGCTAACCTGTCATGTCTGAAGCGCCATCATTACAACATAGTAACATTAGGTTGCCCTTTTAATAATTACGTAGTAGACTTATTTAACGAATTAATATTAACGCCATCTATTTGTTAGAAATGACGAGTCAGTGTAACGTTCCGTTTCAAACCAATAACTATCTAAACGAGGTTATAATAAACGAGCTGTTTGTAGTTATCTTCGTAAACGTCATCGTAATGTCACTCAAAAATAGTATAGACCTTCAAGTGATATTCAAATGACGTCATCAGTGGCTTTAAAATGGTTTTGTCCGTGCATAAAGCAAAAATACAATTATACCTTTATTTTATAACTAAAAAACGATGTACAAGTTATATTTTAAGCTTTAATTGCTCAATGTTGGGCTTGAAGAGTAAAAAGGGATTATATCCAGAAACGGAGTTAAGAGGTTTTCAAATTTAGCTGACGATGTGTTACATTACTCTGGTTCTATTCCACAACGGTTTTAAAGCTATATAAATATTTATTGAAATCTGGATCGATAGGTTAGTCACGTGTCTATACATGTTAATTAAGTCAAATGCTGAAATGAATGATTCACAGCGTCTTAGCAAAGCCAATGGCAGAGGGTAAGTAGGAGATGACATAAGAGATCTTTGCCTTGTTGGGGTATACATATTTGAACGGGTGTTAGTGTTTCGTTTCAACAGGCTGAAAGCTATCGATGGTTAGATGAATGTATTGGTTTCTTAATATGCATATTAAATATTTATATTTAATTTAGACGGGGCAAAATAACTTTTGCACTTCACTAGCTCGGAAAGGCTTTCTTTCTCATTTGAAATCTGCGCCCAAAAACGTTTTTGAAAACGTTGTGGAAAAGGTTTTTGAAATTCGAACTTGACCATGGACTGCGGTGCACCCATTGACTTACAAATAAATGGACGACGGGTCTAATACAAAAACCACGAAAAAAATGTCCCAAGTCAACCTATTCGAAATTTAAATTGTTATGTCATCGCAGTATCGCGCTGTCCGTAGAACAAATGAAGACTAAAGCGGAGTGTCGCGCTCTGTATACGATTTTAGCGCCTTACAAGTGCGGACACTTTTTAGCGCGAACCCGACGTCCATATAATTGTAAGTCAATGGGTGCACCTAACTTTTTCTTTCGATTAAAAAAAAAGATAATGACTCGTTCAACTACGCAATTTGTCGTTCCTACATTACTTATTTATGTACCTAATATAAATCTGTTGGTATATTTTGTTCTCATTATTGTTGACATTAAATTGACAATTATAATTAATTGTGTCTTTTAAATTATTTTAATTCGTCGAAGAACTAAAATAATTTCAGTAATCACTTAATCACAGAAAATAAAAGTACAAGTAAGAATAAAAATTGATGAGGTGTAAATTCAGAACGCATCCGAAGATAACCGTTTTCTTGTAATTAAAAAAACTGATTACTGATACTTCAATTGTTGTTCTTTCATCTACCATTTTACTCGCAATAGTGCGGTGTAAAGTTGTATGTTTGCAGCAAAGTTGTTTTGCATCTCGTGGCTTGAAACCCTCGCTACACTCAGAAATCTATTTTTGAACCTCGAGAGAAGAATAATGTGTAAGAAACTCTAGGGTTTACTTACTTAGTTACTTTGCTGGCTCAGCGATGCGCAGTGGATCTTTTTTTATGATACCAAGTGAACGGACGAACAAACATGTGCCTAGTGTTAAGAAGTTGTCGAAAGAACCCTGAGACATAAGTTGACAAGTCCCATGTGCCTGCAACTTCTTGGCCTCCGATACCAAAGGGCACTATTTCGTTCTGGGTTTGTAAGCAGCACAGAGCAAAAAATATCAAACATTTTATTAAAGCACACTTTGTGAATAAACTCTAACGGTTGCTGTTTGTAAATAAAAATGATAAATTTACAATATTTATCAAGACAAGTAAAAAGTAAGAGCTAAACGTGTCACAATCTCTATGGTCAGAACTATGGATTTTTGTCATCTAAATGCGCAAAAGCTGTATAATAAATAACCATTAGTGTAAAGTTTTCGTTTCACTACAGTTTTAAACTTCGTTAATGGCCGACATAGAATATCAACCGTAATCTAGTTATAGCTCATACTCTGCTTCGTAAATGAATTTGTGACTTTGTGTAACCTACTGTCAAGAACAACCAATCAATTTTTATTCCCGTTATTAATGTTATGTTTATCACTATTTTTCATAAAAAATTACTATTCTTCTTAACATGAATCAAACTTTCTTAAATGTACCTACTGTGACAGTATATAAAAAGGAGTTCTCTACTTGAGATCGAATGCCGTTTGATCAAACATTAATTGCTCGAAAAAGTTTCCTCGATTATCCATTCGGTCTATAAATCGTGAGATCTTAGGTTTGTCACATCGACGCATCAAAATCTCTAAAGAACATGAGCTCTAACGATAACGGCCAAAAAAGTGATTTCTCGAAGGATCTTTAGATTTATTTTAGTTATACGCAATATTCAACATTTTCTTTACATTTCAAGGTGAGAAAATTCCTTTGAATTCGTGAATTAAAAGTTTGCTGTCAGCTATCCCAGATATTAATTGAGGACGCATTAATTACAATTACCAGTTTTTTGCGAGTTCTGTGACGTACAAAATTTGTTTCAAAAGATCGCAAAATTATATTTACATTGATGAATTCCTACCTAGTGTAGTCAATTTTACTCAAAAGACTACATTTAGACCCTTTATTAACTGTCTCCGTGACTGAACGGTTACCATGCTGTATGCAGAGGTCCCGGGTTCGATTTCCGTGCCGAATATGATAAACCATAAGTAAAAATTTTATAAAGTAAATCGAAAACTAAAGCGTTTATTTCAAAAGTAACCTCAGAATTATCTTATAAATAACACTACTTACTTATTTCTGCCGCTAAGCCAATGACAGTATGACTGTGTTCTGGTTTTGAAGGGTAAGGGTGCTCGTGAAATTACAGGCACATAAGACTTGTCAACTTATGTCTCAGGGTAACGAGCACAGTGGCAGTATCCTTCAGATCTTTACAATTTAAAGCTCTAAGTGGCTCTGCAACTGTTATGGACACCCGTAAATCAGGAACCCGTAAAAAGGGTAAATTTCTTTAAACTTAACTCTTAAAGACACTCTGGGTTCCAGATTATAAATTGTTCTAACCGCGCGTTTTTCAGGATAAAGATTCTATTAATATTGGCGGGATTACCTGAAAACAAAGATCAGCTGTGGAACTGTACAAGCTAGTAAAAAAAAACTCTTTTTAGTATTACAAAAATATATTGTTGATATTGCCAAAACTTAAGGTATTAAACTAGAGAGAAATCTACCATGAAACTTTGTTCAAACAAAACCCGGCACTGAGCAAAAAATATCAAACATTTTATTAAAGCACACTTTGCAAATAGAGTAAATTTGTTTTGTTTATAAACGCCACCGTTTGTACAATCGCATGCTTCTACTCATAAACGGACCCTATTCCATAAACTCGATGTTATTTCAGCTCCTAATGCATATTGAGCCATTTGCTTGAAATTTTTCTTCATGCATTTTTATTTTACTTTTTTCTTGTTTACTTGAATCGCTTCCAGAGTTTTTTAACGATCTGTTCCTCAACAATGGGTCATTTATTAGTACACGCTTCACTGGGATGTATCCTCTCAAATTCAGCGGCCAATTACAACGCTTGTTACGCTGAAAAATGTCTGTCGGCTCTGCACGTTTTTACTACGCAACTATAAATTGTACCAAGTCCCAACTCTTTCCTTTTCATTGAATTTTTCCTTGGGGAGTTTTAGTTCGCCTCATTTCGCGAATGGCCAGATGAATTTTAATGTTGGCAGCGTTTTGGAGATAATAATTCTGTTACAAAGTAACTGCTACGCTTTAATGGCAATATTTTGTTTACTTTTATTTTGTATTTTATATAAATTAGTTTTTATTGCAGCGATTAGTTTGATTTATTCGCTTTTTTGTATCTATTTTAGATCTAAAACTATTTTCATTGAATTCGATTAGTAAATAATATCCAGAGCGTCTCACGGCTATGGACAGAAAGTACTTTAAATATTGTAGATAGGACACTTTGTTTCATGGAAACATAATTTTATTTCCATGAAATAGTAATACTGCATTCATAGACTTTTAAAAATTTGCTTGCTTCATCTACGAATCGCGCCGACCAAATATGGAAAAATATCTTGCATTTTTATAATGCCGATCGTAAGGGTTAATCATAAGGATTAATTCCTTTCCTAACTATAATATTTAAAGTACTTTCCCTCCATATGGGCGTTATATGTTGTAACAATATCTGTAGTCAGAAAAGTGGTATCGATAAATAAAATTCAAACATAACCAGAAACACCAACTATTAAATTGTTGGTCCAATCGAATATTTTATAATAAATTTCTTTTTAGGCATTTTATAAACCTATAATATAATGTTAACTAAAAGCAGTAACTTTAAAATTCCGCGAGACATCCCTTTTCTGCCAATAAAAGTGAAAAAAATCTAATAATGAGAAGTGTCCTGCACTACGATTAAGGTCATATGCTGTTTCGTATTCCCCGCCCGGCGCCTGTCTGTCCTCTTCCTAAGCTGTTGTCTTGTGAATTCCAGATGAGTCCCTCCCCGTGACCCCGGCCCCGCCCCGCTCCTCAGGTACTTGTTCCTCTACTTCATTTATAATTAACATTCATTTATATTTCACTAGAACCGCATCCGCTTCACTTCATAGTGTTTTATTTGCAAGTTTCCTTTTAACAGCGTATTTTGTTATGGCACTTGTTTACGAATCGCTCTTAGCAACATCTTTGTTTACTTTGTGCTTGTTGTCATGCTTTTAGCGTATCTGTATTGATGTGCGTACTTTAGCACTGATAATAAATTCAAAGAACATCGTTGGAAAAGAAGAAGCATATAAAGTTTAAAGACCGGCGTGGTATTATCCCTATATGAACAGGCGAAGTTCACGTAATATGGCTAACTCTTGTCGAACTAAAATTACCGTGCATTATCCGAGTAAACTTGGTCAGATCGGGGTTCACTATAACTTGCTGGCTTTACCATACCATCTCTTGTCATTCATTTCATTTTAGAACGTCTTGATTTCAGAAAAAAAGTTTATAAGTCCTGGGATTCTACTACTTCAATTTAATTTTATTATGATTTTCAAGAGAAGAGGCGTTGTAACGTGCTTCATGAACATTGAAATAAAACGCCGTCCTCATTTAACATGCAAATAGCTCAAAAAGACAACTCCAAAATAAAGCAATCTTTTTAGTTTAAAGCAAAAAAAAGCCCTAGCAACATCAACTGTTAGTAATCATTTACACGAATAGAAATATTGTTCAATCCCCTTTTGTATGTTTTGTATTTGTTGATAGTCGTATTATACAAATACTAAGAAAAATAGAAACCACAACTTATAAACCAAATTCAGAATCAACTCAGAAATTTACCATCAATTTGTAGTTTTCTCTGAAAGGGATGAATTTTAATTAAGAAATTTGCTTTTGCTCGAGCACATTCCATAATTAATTACTTTTATAAAATCGAAATACATTTTGAATATATAAAAGCTTTCAAAGGAAAATAAAGCCTTACCAGCGCACGTGCGATGACAGACGTTCCACAGAATTCGGTTTCCCAGATAACATACAGAAATTCCGCTGGTAATAACTTTGCATTCGCTGCACGCTCCGTTGCTCTAGCGTCGTGTGTGTGATTTGTACCTTTATTCTTTGTATTGAGAGTCGTGTTTCGATTGTTACAGCGGCCGCGGCGACCATCTGGGGCTCGCAAGACGTGTACGTGAAGAAGGGCAGCACAATATCATTGACATGTTCAGTGAATGTCCACTCGACGCCGCCCTCTAGCGCATCCGTTTTATGGTAATGCCTATACTTTGTCTCGTTTGGCCTTCTTAGTTGTATTAGGGCAATACACTCTCGCGATTTGAACCGGTTTGTTTAGGAGAATTGTTACAAATGACGTGGCACGAGGCCAATTCTATGTTACAAAGTTTTGCAAAGTGCTTTGTGTGAGCAGGAAGTGTAAGCAATGTCCGTTTTTGCTATAAGTAGAGACCCTACAATAGTCCATTATGGAATGTATATTTGTTCAATAAATGATATATATACATGGTGTAATCGTTAAGCGTGCCTAGGCGATTATTCCATATAAAATATATCAAAAAGCTTTAAACTGATATCGAAAGTACGTTAGTTAGTTTTAAAAATAAAACTGAAAATATTCAAAATTTTAACTATAAACGCTCCCATACATTTAATACGACATTAGACGGGAGGTTTTTGTTGACCTACTTTAAGAGGTAACAATAAGTTTACAGATAACAAAACAGCTATTAATAAAGTAATAAAACTATCTTTTATTTGAATAAAAATGTAACGTCATATTCAATTTAACTGCCTCCGTGGCCGAACGGTTACCATGCCGGACTGCCACGCAGAGGTCCCAGGTTCGATTCCCGGGCTGGGAGAAATATTTGTATGGCCTACATTTATTTCTCTCGTGAGTTTGGGTGTAATTTGTGGTTGTCTATGTGTGTGTCCATGGCACCCGCGACACAGGGTTTCCCTAGTGCGGGGCTATGTTGAGTGTGAGCGTTATTAATTATTTGATAAACTCAGTTTCATGTAAGAATCGTATCATTGTACGTGACGAAAAAAATCGGGACCATAGAAGCTGGTCAAATTTAATTAAATGTATTTTATACATAAAATTGACTAGTTTCTTTTAATGTTGATAGGCTCAGTTTCTTATAAAAATATTTTTTTGTATTGAACGAAAAGAATCGGGACAACAAAAGTTGATTAAATATAATAAAATGTTATACATTATATATTCAAAAGTGTTAGGTATCAAGGTATTTTTTCAAAATATTTGATTCTTCTTCTTCTTCTTTTTCTTCTTCTTCCTGTCCTTCAAAATATTTGATTACCCTATTAAAATGAAATAAAAATGTATACATAAATTTATTAAATTATTTATTTCATATGTAAATATACCAAAAAAAAACATTGTATTTAAAAATAAAATAAAGAAAAAACCTGATTTTAGTAATTGGCAAGTGTCTAGGGAGACACTTTTGATGTGTGTGGTGTCCATCTTTTTACGCTATTTATAGACAGTCTGGATATTACAACAAATTACTATAGTATTTTCGATACTCATACATGTTGCATACGTGGTTAGACTAATTACGACTATTATACAGGATTATTTGTAAAATACTAAAAACGACTATCATCGTAAACAAGAACTTCTGTTCTTGATGACTTTTGATTATTCGTCACTTTTTACTTTTGTACAAAAATATTTTAATTAATCGCTCTACATTGTGATAACTCTGTGCAGTAGCAAAAGAAAGCGCCCACCAACAAAATTATTCTCATGAATGCACGCAGAAGGCGTTGCTAAAATTACAGATCTAAAATTGTCGGATAGTACAACAAAAACTCAATTTTTTTTTTTGTTTTTGGTAAAAATTATTATGTTTAATAAAAAGTCATGGAACAAAAGTTAGTATTTATAAATGGCCCTGTATTTTCTATCGTGAAGTCATTCAAAACCTAATTAATGTCTTTTCTGATAAATGGGTGCTACTGCAGTGTGAGAGACTTCATGGACTTTCCTATAAGATGATGTGAAAGAAGTGATGAACACTTCGACGCTTTCATAACGTAATGTGTCTATTTTAAGAAACTTCAGTTCATGTTTTGTTAACTAAGCGAGAGTACTATTAATTTGTTACACCCTAACAGGGTATGTTTGTACTTAGTAATTACTTGTGTAATGCTTGTACTAACATTGTTTGCAATAAATAAATGAATAAATGGATTTTTAATAAGCTTGAATCTAAGGCGTTCTTCACGCTACTTGCTCAAAATTTTTACGTTTACGTTTCCATTATTTAGGTACCACGGCAGCGCGGTAGTGGACTTCGATTCTCCTCGTGGCGGTATCAGCTTGGAGACGGAGAAGACTGAAGGAGGTACGACCAGCAAGTTGCTGGTCACCAAAGCGGCGCTCACCGATTCTGGGAACTACACTTGTGTTCCGAACAACGCGCACCCCGCATCTGTGTCCGTGCACGTGCTTAATGGTGAGTTGAGGAGCTAGGGATCGCGTTTGACCAACAGAGGGCGCTAAAAATATCTTAATTAAAACTGATTTTGTGCAACATAAGATATGGACTTGTTTTAACTATAGTTGCCTAGAGATTTTTTCAGTGAGATATATTTGTTGTCTCATTTTTACCGTTTCTTGGAGGATAGTAGATCTAATTATTGTTTATTTCTATATAGTTTTAATGGCCTCCGTGGTCGAATGGCATGCACATTTGTGTTGTGTCGCCAGCTCTGAGGTTAGTGTAAAAAAAACTTTTCTATGTTGTCTGGGCTATAAGTGGTTGTGATACCGTCGTTGTTTCCGATTTCCATAAACAAATGCTTTAGCTACTTACTTTGGGATCAGAGCAACATGATGATGTTGCCTAACATTCCTATCAGGTTATATCCCTACTATTTTTTTATTATACCAAGTAACACGACGAACAAGTCATTAGCCTGGTGGTAAGCGACACGCCTATCCATAGCAGTTGCATTGTCACTAAGAGCTTTAAATCGCAAAGACCGGAGGCACATTAGCGCTGAGCTTGTCACCGTGAGACAATAGTTAGTAGACAAGTCCCATATGCCTGTAATTTCACCCTTGCCCTTCAAAACCGGAACTTAGTAATACTCGCATTACTGCTTGGCAGCTGAAATAGGTAAGGTGCCAGTACTTCCCTGGACAAACTCTTTCACAAGGAGCTCTACTGCTACCATAGTTTTACCTATGCCCTAAAAATCTAATTAACTCGCTGTTTCCTCACAGGTGAGCACCCAGCGGCAATGCAAACGAGCAACCGGGCTTCGTCCTATCTGACGTCACAGCTGAGTTGCGCGCTCGTAACGTACTTGCTCTCTTCCACCGTCTGCAGATGATCGCCCTAGCCGTTAGCTTACGGCTGCACAGGTGGAGCCTTTGCTTACATTTTTGCGACATTAAAAAAAGTTAATTTTGACTGTGTAAGTATAGGTCTTTGTTAAGTGGAATGATTGTGTTGTTTCTAAACTGAATATAATTATGTTTTAGAAAAGGGACACTCCATGTATTCAAGAAGGTATAAGCCGAGACTTTTTAACAAAACTGGTCATATGTATATAATTAGAAATAGTAACGTTGCGTAGTGGAGTAAATTAACAAGTGCATGTATTTCTTCTTAGGAGTCGATACTACCTTAGGTCGAATCCAAAATTTTCCCGTACTAATACGGTTCATTTTGCCTGGGTCGAGCGACAGGGATACTGGTTTCATTTCAGAATATATTTTTTACAAACTAAAGCTAATATAAAAATGCACCATGCGTGTTTTATTTAGTTCAGTTGATAATAAAAAAGTTCATTGGTATATGTATGTAGAACCTATTGAATACAGCGGTTTTCTTATAAAATTTCGAGGTAACTTTGTGTTTTTTTTTATCGTGAAAATTTAGGAATCGTGTTTTCGCATCATACAGTAATCAGTGTGTATCCTCAATTTTACTATATATTTTTACCAAAGTGATTAATTTAACACTTTCACTGATAAGCGGAATTAACCAAAGCCATTTGAGGTCGTATAGACTCTTAAGTAACAGGTTTTTATTTTCTATACAAAACATATATTTCAATTTATCTTCACAATCATGCCACCTAATAAATTTTGTACAGTGAATACTCATTTAATTTCATAGCTTGAAACAAGCTTCTCTTGCGACATAGTCAATGGCCGTAATTGGGTTGTGATTTCCATTATTTAAAAAAAAAACATGAAATAAAACAAAGGCTCTCACCTTATTGAATTTTTAATTCGAGAATTGGTAAAATAATAAATGTTTGGAAAATCATTCAAGTTGATTTTGTCTACTAAACCCGCGAAAAGTTACAAGAAAATCAAAATAAGACGACAAAATGTTAATAATCTCAGTGCATAATTTAAAATACAACCAATATAGCATGCAATTAAAGATGTCAACGTCAACTCTCCTCGTCTTTCAATCGTATAGATGGCATACACTATAATGCTTGCCATGGTGATGAAAAGCTTGCCAATCGACTTAAAGTACTCGCTGATTGTTGTCCAGGGTGCGCCAGAAAAGGTATGGTACGTCTTTTTTAACTGACTTCAAAAGAAGGAAGACGTTCTCAATTCGACAGTTTTTTTTGTATGTTACGCGATAACGCAGGCATTTGTGAATCGATTCTGATGATTCGTTTTTTGTTGGAAAGAGGGTACCTCGGTAGTGGCCTTATTTAAATTTGAAGAAAATATTCAATCCCTTAGTGTAGCAGACTAGGGGATGAACGACTTTTGAGGTCGGTTTTTTAGTAGTCTGTATTGAGATTACTTTATATATAATACCATGTGAAGGGACGAACAAATCGTAAGCATGGTGGTAAGCAATACGCCTATCCATAACAGTTGCAGTGCCAGTCAGAGCTTTTAATCGAATAGATCTTAGAGGCCCGGCCACTGCGTCAGTCGCCGTGAAACATAAGTTGACAAGGCATATGGAGGCTCTTTTCGTGCACCCCAAAATTCGATAAGAATTTGGAACGGTAAAATATTTAAAAAAAGCCATTTGAAAATTAATGCTAAAACATTTTGTATTATTTACAATTGTTATTCGTTCCATTTAGCCTTAATCTTCATCCTCGGTAGCACCACCCGCGTTGATATCGCGGATATCACAAATATATTTTAAACTTTTGTTAACCTTCTGTAATTAATTAAACTAGATGACGGCACATGGTCAATGTGGGAATCGAACCGGGGTCTTTTTACATAGGATGCAAACGTTCTCTCAAGTATATGATCAGTTGTAAATGTTACAATTTTACCAAGTCTCGATGCCATACATTACTAGGTAAATCGAATGATGGTTTGTTTATAACTAAAACTAGACATAATTAAGGCGTTAGAGAAATGTTAAAATTAAATCGATGTAAGTCGTGAGTGATACAGAGTGATGGGGTGAAGTGAAAATGTTCATTTTACCGTGTGATTGTCGTACGAACAAACAATTAATATTATTTATTAGGCGGCTATCGTGTATGAGTGTCTTTATTAAAAAAATAATAATTCTCCTCTGTACCGTAAATTGTAATATGATTTGCAAACTTCCATACAGAAGTTATTATATCTGAAATAATATTTTCTAATCTCATTTTGTGATAGACACGTAACCAAAACACTTTTTTAGTTAAACTAAAACTTGTTACTTACTATAAAATATAAATACTTTCTTATTTACTTATGTTCTTTGTTAACGACTGTGAATTTCTAAATTATTATTTAAAAAAAACTTTATTTCTAAATCTAATCGAAATAGTTGTAAATCGACAATTTTGTACATAAATACAGTAAAAATAATACGTAAATGTAGAATAAAAAGTTTATATCAGATCGCATTGTAAATATTTCGAATTACTGTAAATAAAGACGAGTTTATTTATTATATATTAAGTAGACATTCTACCACTCGAGTGGTGCAAAAGTTTTTCTTTTTGTTCCTAGAACAATTAAACTTAATGCAAGTTGCTCCTCTTCGCACGAGTTTAACTCTGACAAGGTAAATCCGAGGGTACAACTGTTGGAAATTGTTAGTCCGTGTACACATGCACTGAATAAATTTCCGCGTTGAAGAAACCGCGAAACTTCCTGTTCACGTCTTGCAACTTACCTGCTCCCGTCGAAATGTCAAATAAGTTCGCGGAATACGCGAAAGTTAGTCTAAGCCGTGCCTACTGTTTGCCTCAGTTTGCCATTCGGCTCCAACTTGGCAAAGACCTCGAGAGCCCGCGACTCGTATTACTGCCATTGTTTCTCGTCTGAAGGGGGCAATTGGATGTAATTATTAGGAAATAACGACAAATAAATGAATATTAAAAAGAATCTATCGACTGTTTTTCATTGAAACCTTTATGTGTAACGGAGTTTCTTATAGAATTTAATTTTGTTGATAATCTGGCTTCACAGTGACTGCGCGATATCTGAGTTGGAACTACCTTTAGATACACTAACATCTATTAAACTAAAAATTAAATTATTACAACTATTAAAGCGACATCTCTAGTTAGCCGCTGGTAGCTGTAAAGGTACCTGACTCAATGAAGAAAAACTTTCATAGATTTCTGACAGATGGCGCTACAGCTAAAAGTCGTAAAAACTAAAAACAAAGATCTGTAGCAAACATGCAGAAAATATCGTAAGGTCTGCTGGTTTGTTCCGTAGCTCTGGTGGAAGAGCGTCAGGCACGGTATGCTGAAGGCGCTGGTTCGAATCCAGTCGGATCACATGCGTTTTCTTAGTGTTCGATCTTTGTGTTAATAATTACAATAGACCTTTTGATGACTAAAGGTGGTACCGACGCAGAGGAATGCTCGTCAAAAATTAAAATTTTACGGTTTACACAGCCAGTGTGGAGCCAGACTCGCTGTATCTGTTGACTTTCCATCTATTTGTATACTTGTAAAGTAGTTCATATTGAAGTTATATTATAGCGCAGTAGCTGAAATATACCTAGCTATGTTCCTCGAAATAACGTGTAGATGTTATAAAATGTAACTGGCGTATTGTTTGTACGAGAGTGTGGTAAAGTAGTCGAGAAACCGATTACGTATTACGGATTTAGTTTCATTTTGTATTTTGTAAATAAATTGTAACGAGAAGGAAAGGAGTATTAATAAACAATTCAAAAATAGTACGGTGTTTTCATTTAAATCGACATATATGTCATAATTATTTGCGAGGAAATAATTTCATAACAAAGTTCACTATAAATATTTATGTATAATACTGATATAGAATACTGTTCGCGCCGATACCTCTACCTTGTTATCGGCGAGGTATCGGCGCGAATGCGCATCGGTTAGGTTCACCTACCCTTATTCTTTTAATATTTACTATTGCTTCAGCTGAACTACAGTTCGTAATTAGGACAGGCAGCCTTGCGTCTGCCTTGGACCACCCATCGACGCTCCTCGTAGTCCTATTTCGCTGTGTGTTAAATATCGCTTGTGTTGTACTGTACTTAAACACTGCACGGTGATAAATCAAGTGATCATCATCGTAACTGGTAGTCTACTCTGACCGCCACCGCGACAACCAAACCACCACGTGTTCCAGTTTTCTCGTTGTCGCAGATCCTTAATCAGGACGTCTGCTGGAATTTCGCTCGTATGTGGCGCGTACAGTCATAAAGCTTGACTACTGGACTGACACAAATACATAATAAGTAAATTTATATTGTTCGTTAAACTGAAAGTTATTTATTCCAGAGGTATCGAATCTCTACATATTTATATACATACGAATTAACTTTAAAAATTTGCAATATGTGAAAGTGGATTTTTAATATTTTCGCATGCTTCATAATTGTGAAAATGCCCAAATAGCTACGAATATTTAATAAAAGAATAAAGTTATTTTTATTTACGAAGAATTCGATGCCGTATTTTTCGATTAACTGAAAAATTTATTTTGATTGAACTATTTGATATTTTGAATATTTATTGGACCATGTAATGTTAGAATAATGATACGTCGGCCATGGACGTGAATCAAGTGTGCCTAGGCGGCAGACAAGAAAAATTGCGTACCAATGAACTATGGATACGCCGAGGCGTAGCACTTTGGAACAGAATATGTTTTATTTCGCTTCAATGATATATGAAACCTATAGGTTTCAATATTATATGTAATACACGTAACAATTTTATTTACCAATTAGAAATTATCGAAACTATATTACGTAATTTACACGCATATGTGCTATCACTAACATCACTTAGTTTATGTACTTATATTATTTGTCACTCACTATCCAACATAGTAGAATGTAGTCAAACAAGCTGCGATCCAACTGTGTTGCCACTGGAAAATAGCACTTGAAATGGAATCGTCAAACAGTTTTATTATAAAAGAGAGTGGTGAGTACTTCGTTAACTGCTAGTACAGTCGGCCTACAGTTCCATTCATTGTTTAGTTGCAGGAACTTCTAATGTTAGTTTACTTAATGCCGTCATTTTACTGTGATAATTAAAGTTATCGGAGTCTGAAGAATGTTAAACAATTATTAACAAAATAGTATCAAATAAGGTTTTTTGCAGCCACGTTTCATGTCACTTAAAATACTGTTCAACGAAGCCGCACTACCGCGTCCGTCACTTCATAATAACATTGATATATAAAGCGAGTATAATGTTGGGATTTCTTAGGTAGAAATTACGAGATTTTATGTTGATATCGCTCAGCTCACTCAGCGATCTATAAAAGGACCTATGCTCGGAGTTTTTGGAAGGATAAGATTCGAACTGAGGTTAAAAAAAGTCAAAGTCGTCGTTGGGTGGAGATCAGGGCTCAGCAAACGTAGT